GAAAGAGAAATGGAAGAGGACGGGTGAACATCACTGCCCGAGGATGGAACAGACATAGTTACATATTTTACATAGAACATATTTTTGCTGCTTTCATTGATGTATTCCATTCTGTATTTCATAACCCGTACCGATCACAGAACTCCAAAAAACTGTCCCTGAGGAAGTCTGAACTCCCAAAAACCGGTCCCTGAGGAAGTCTCTGTCGGATAAGACTTCCTGTTCATTATTTTAACACTGATTGATTGCACTGTGTGTGTTGGTGTTCAGACCAGACCTTTAATCTCTGCGATCAGGGTCACTTCCAGCTGTCAGGACGCTCATCGCCATAGAGGACTGTCACCGCTGAGATCCAAATTTCCCACTTGGAGTGCTTTGCATTACATCGCTTCCTAGAAGACCCAACACACCGAAACGGGGGTGCAACTACGAGTCATGGGGCCCCATCGACAACCTCTCTACAGCAGCCGACAGTATCCACGATGAGAATATGGGAGGGGGGGGGGATTACCACAAGCTGGAGCACACAAAATCTGGTGCGGCTCTGCACAGAAACCAATCGGCTTCCAGATTTTATTACCAAAAACTTAGGCTGGCCATACATTATACAATTTTCTTGAGATTTTTACTTTAGATTTACCAAAAACCATATAAATAGGAGGCCAAACCCAAACAACACTTTCAGTTGTATCCAATTAGGTAGGCCCCACCCACATGGAAGAAAAATATATTTGAAATAAATTTAAAAAATATTCTTCCCAAATTTATTGCCATATATTTGAAATGCTACAATTTTGGCCGTATTCAATATATGTTATATATATATATATATATATACACACTGTATGTTGAAATGTGTTTTTATTACAAAATATATGAAAAATATTTGTAAAAATACATTTCAAATATACTGTATGTCTTTAAAAATGCTTTTACTCTACATTTTTTGAATTCCTTTACCAATATATGAAACAATATATGTTAAAATGACTTTTTTATATGTAAAAAAAAAAAAAATCTGAAGAATATATATAGAATAAATATATTTTAAAAAAAATATATTATTTTGATTTTTTTTAACATACAAAAAAGTCATTTTAACCACCTCCCGTCTGGCTCTTGTATATAAACGGCCCAAGGACGGTCGCAGTGAAGGGTTGTGTGGCCGTTTATAAACGGCCTCCCTGTCCCAATTGTGCGTGCTCCCTGGAAGTGCGCAGCACCGCGATCCGGTGCCTGCTGTGTCCTCCGGACACAGTGGAACACCGATCATCGTACGGGACCTCTGTGTGAGGTCCTGATCATGTGATCACTGATTGGCCAATCAGTGATCACATGCAGAGTAGTAAGCAAGATGTCACTTTTGACATCATTGCTTACTACTTGTGAAATCTGCAAATGATCACAGAGGTCACATGGTACAGGGCTATTCACAACAGCCTTGTACCATGTGACAAGCTGTGACCAATCACAGCTCACACAGTATTTCTCAATGGCTGCAAGAATGCAGCCAGAGAGGAGGAGAAATGATTGCTTTTACAGCCTTTATGGGTGTAAAAGCAATCAGTGTAAAAAAATCTTCATCACCCCCCACAAGTAGTACAGTGTCACCATGGTGACACTGTGCTGCTAGGGTGACAGTATGTAAAAAACAAAAAAAACCAAATAATAATATAAAAAAATAAATAAATGTAAAAAAAATGTTTAAAAATTATAATTTTTGGTTATAAACTAATTTGGGTTATTTTATTTTTTACTAAAAAGATAATGGAATACATTTTGGCCGAGATTTATGATGAAATATTATTTATTTGCAAATTTTATAAGAAAAACACTTTTTTTCAAAATGTTTGGACTTTTTCATTTACATTGCAAAAAAAATTAAAATCCCAGCGGTGAATAAATACCACAAAAATAAAGTTTTATCTGTCTCAAAAAAATGCTGGGTACAGTGTTGCATGACCGCGCAATTGTCATTCAAAGTGTGATAGCGCTGAAAGCTGAAAATTGGCCTGGAGAGGAAGGGGGGGAAAGTGTCGGACTGGAAGGGGGGGAAAGTGTCCGGACTGGAAGGGGGTGAAAAGTGTCCGGACTAGAAGGGGGGAAAGTGTCCGGACTGGAAAGGGGGGGAAAGTGTCCGGACTGGAAGGGGGTGGGAAAGTGTCCGGACTGGGGGGGATGTGGAAGGGGGTGGGAAAGTGTTCGGACTGGAAGGGGGGGAAAGTTCCTGGACTGGAAGGGGGGGAAGTTCCGGACTGGAAGGGGGGGAAAGTGTCCGGACTGGAAGGGGGGAAAGTGTCCGGACTGGAAGGGGGTGGGAAAGTGTCCGGACTGGAAGGGGGTGGGAAAGTGTCCGGACTGGAAGGGGGTGAAAGTGTCCGGACTGGAAGGGGGGGGGGGGGGAAAGTGTCCGGACTGGAAGGGGGGGGGGGGGGGAAAGTGTCCGGACTGGAAGGGGGGGAAAGGGTCCGGACTGGAAGGGGGGTGTGAAAGTGTCCGGACTGGAAGGGGGGGGGAAAGTGTCCGGACTGGAAAGGGGGGGGGGGGGGGGAAAGATTCCGGACTGGAAGGGGGGGAAAGTGTCTGGACTGGAAGGGGGGGAAAGTGTCCGGACTGGAAGGGGGGGTAAAGTGTCCGGACTGGAAGGGGGGGAAAGTGTCCGGACTGGAAGGGGGTGAAAGTGTCCGGACTGGAAGGGGGGGGAAAGTGTCCGGACTGGAAGGGGGGGAAAGTGTCCGGACTGGAAGGGGGTGAAAGTGTCCGGACTGGAAGGGGGGGGAAAGTGTCCGGACTGGAAGGGGGGGAAAGTGTCCGGACTGGAAGGGGGTGAAAGTGTCCGGACTGGGAAGGGGGGGAAAGTGTCCGGACTGGAAGGGGGGGAAAGTGTCCGGACTGGAAGGGGGGGGAAGAGAGTGTCCAGACTGGGAAGTGGGGTATGAAAGTGTCCGGACTGGAAGGGGGGAAAGTGTCCGGACTGGAAGGGGGTGAAAGTGTCTGGACTGGAAGGGGGGGGGTGTGTGAAAGTGTCCGGACTGGAAGGGGGTGAAAGTGTCCGGACTGGAAGGGGGGGAAAGTGTCCGGACTGGAAGGGGGGAAAGTGTCCGGACTGGAAGGGGGGGAAAGTGTCCGGACTGGAAGGGGGGGGAGAGTGTCCAGACTGGAAGTGGGTGAAAGTGTCCGGACTGGGAAGGGGGGGAAAGTGTCCGGACTGGAAGGGGGTGAAAGTGTCTGGACTGGAAGGGGGGGGTGAAAGTGTCCGGACTGGAAGGGGGTGAAAGTGTCCGGACTGGAAGGGGGTGAAAGTGTCCGGACTGGAAGGGGGTGAAAGTGTCTGGACTGGAAGGGGGTGAAAGTGTCTGGACTGGAAGGGGGTGAAAGTGTCCGGACTGGAAGGGGTTAAACGCTGGGATATAGTGTAATAAATGTAGCAGGGGAGTATGCCAAAAAATAAATGCAGTTTCCACTCCTTGAAATTTGTTCTTTTAAGAAATAAACTCAAAAGTCCCGGATCGACTTGAACGATAGGATATTACAGGGACCAGAGCTGGGGATAAAAGGGATACCAGTTGTAGTAACAATACTAATAATACCCATGAAGACATTTTATATTACGCCAAAATTATTAATGCTCCTGCACACAAAATATACACAGAATATAACTGGATAGAACATTTATAGGTGACGTTGATCCTGGGAATATCCGATTGTCTCTCGGGGGATCAGGAAGGAATTTTTTCCCTGCAGGAGCAAATTGGATCGTGCTTTGCTGGGATTTTTTTTTTTAAATTGTAAAAAAATGTTTAAAAATTGTAAAAAAAAAAAAAAAAAAAATTTTTTAAATTGGAAATATCATTAAAAAAAGTACTCTTTGTAATTCGGGGGTTAGGGGGGTCCTGTCAGGTAGGCTGTAGAGGGCTCTGTGATTTCTAACGGCAGCCATAGGTGGCACTATGAAGTAGGAAGTGATATCTGACCGCGATGGTGCCACCACCATCCGGATCGAAGTTCCGGGGTCGGTTTGGGGAGGGTTGGCACCATGTTTTACTGCACCAGGTGACACCATGGCTGTCAAATTGGGAGTAGCATATGCGTCGGTGCAGCCGTTGCGTCCCAATTGACATGTAGAGGACCCTGTGTAGGCAGACAAGGCCCTTCCACAGACATCCGTCGTACATCCGCCGTGTCAGGCCTCATTCTTTATGACACGTTGGGAATATTTTCACTTTTAGAGCACAGATTAATATCACAAGGCTGATCTCTCAGCACTCACTCCCCGTATGAAGTGGAGGCCTTTCCTCAGGCCATGATTAACATGTCAGATATCGCTTGCGTAGCTCCGCCCTTTACTAAAAGTTGTTTTCTACCTGGAGGGCCTCCGGGTGAAGTTCTGCCTAGTTCTAAGACACTCCCTATGGTGTCACCAACCAGAGCACTTTGAGGATCGGCCGCAGGGCTGGAGGGAGAACGATGAGTGATAAGAAGCAGACCGGATTGCACAGCTGTCAGGGTGACGATGGGGTCAACTGCCGCAAGACCGCATATACCAGCCACAGATGGATCGAAATTCAGCCAGTTCAGCAAAGGACCCCACTGGCTGTCTAAATACCTGAGCAGGGGCTGCATGCCACTGGATGCAAATGCTGTTCAGCTGACAATTTGCCATCCGGCTCCTTCAATTTTTCAATTGAAAGATGATGGGTGGAAGGGTGGCAATGGGGACACCCACTGAGCGAATTTCAGCCAGTTCATCAGGAATTGGGAAAAAATTGCAGAGTATGGCCAGCTTAATACTGAAGAGTGTAGACCAGGGTTTCTGAACCAGCGTTCCTCCAGAGGTTGCTAGGGGTTACAATGAGCAATTTATGCCTCTCAGATAAGTTCCCACTGACTCTATTGATCTGTTTAGCTATCTGTAAGAGGGACATTCTTCCCACTGACCACCAATGTGAGGAACATTCTTCCCACTGACCACCAATGTGAGGAACATTCTTCCCACTGACCACCAATGTAAGGAACATTCTTCCCACTGATCACCAATGTGAGGAACATTCTTCCCACTGACCCCCAATGTAAGGGACATTCTTCCCACTGATCACCAATGTGAGGAACATTCTTCCCACTGACCACCAATGTAAGGGGCATTCTTCCCACTGACCCCAATGTAAGGGACATTCTTCCCGCTGACCCCCAATGTAAGGAACATTCTTCCACTGACCCCCAATGTAAGGGGACATTCTTCCCACTGACCCCCAATGTAAGGGACATTCTTCCTACTGACCCCCAATGTATTATTATTATTATACAGTATTTATAAAGCGCCAATAGTTGGCTCAGCGCTGTACATTACAAAGGGGACAGAACATGTGACAGAACAATACCAATACAATACAAAACGTGAGGGGATCGAGGGCCCTGCTCTTTGTAGCTTACAATCTAATGTAAGGGACATTCTTCCCACGGACACTGACCCCCAATGTAAGGGACATTCTTCCCACTGACCCCCAATGTAAGGGACATTCTTCCCACTGACCACCAATGTAAGGACATTCTTCCCACTGACCACCAATGTAAGGGGACATTCTTCCCACTGACCCCCAATATAAGGGACATTCTTCCACTGACCACCAATATAAGGGACATTCTTCCCACTGACCCCCAATGTAAGGGACATTCTTCCACTGACCCCCAATGTAAGGGACATTCTTCCCACTGACCCCCAATGTAAGGGACATTCTTCCCACTGACCACCAAATGTAAAGGACATTCTTCCCACTGATCACCAATGTAAGGGATATTCTTCCCACTGACCTCCAATGTAAGGGACATTCTTCCCACTGACCCCCAATGTAAGGGACATTCTTCCCACTGACCACCAATGTAAGGAGCATTTTTCCCACTGATCACCAATGTAAGGGACATTCTTCCCACTGACCACCAATGTAAGAGACATTCTTCCCACTGACCACCAATGTAAGGGACATTCTTCCCATTGACCACCAATGTAAGGGACATTCTTCCCACTGATCACCAATGTAAGGGACATTCTCCCCACTGATCACCAATGTAAGGGGACATTCTTCCCACTGATCACCCAATGTAAGGGACATTCTTCACCACTGACCTCCAATGTAAGGGGCATTCTTCCCACTGACCTCCAATGTAAGGGACATTCTTCCCACTGACCCACAATGTAACGGATATTCCCGCCAATGACCATCACCAGTTGTCATGAGTTGTAGGTATAGTAACTTTCACCAAGGGTTTCCCTGAGAATGGAAAGTTATTTCAAGGGTTCCTCTGTGATAAAAGAGTGGAGAAAGACTGGTGTAGAGGTTTGGCTTCATTTTATCATCAAGAGGCCAGGCCTGTCCTGGATCGAGCTTACATAATTAAAGCGATAGCAAACTCTAAAAAAAAAACAAAAACACCTGGCCGCTTGGTTGGCTGAGCCGTGATGACCTCACTCCTGGGAGTCTTGGGTATCGTTCCTTCAGGGCGCATGCGCGGGTGATGTCACGGGCTGCCTGAATGGTGCAAGTTTGGGAGATATTCATTTTACCTACAGGCAAGCTTGATTATAAGAATTACCTGTAGCTAAAAAAATGAGATTTTATTACGACTTCAAATAAATACGTTGAAATAAGAGAAGTCTGTCACAAATACCAAAAGAAGACCCCCAAAAACAGTCTCGAAGAAACTAAAATTTGCAGTTGATCCTTTGAGGGACCTCGCAGAAAAAAAAAAACAAACCGTAAAGTTGATCTAACACCAGGCACCCTCTCACCCGCCTCGGTCCCGACTGTACTTACGAGCTGTCAGGACCCCCGCAGCTGCTCGAGCAGTTCGAGGATTTGAAACCCTTGCTCTTCTCTATCCTCTCTGTGCAGTGCTTCAGATCAGATCAATTCCCTGTGACAGTGCCGGCGAATCAGAATCTGGTCCATCCCAGGAGCATTGAATGGAGAAGACATGAAGAACGGGGATTTCAAATCCTCAGAACGCTGCGGGGGTGCTGACAGCTTGTAAGTACAGTGGGGACCGGGGTGGGTGGGGAGGGTCTCCGGAGTAAAGGTGGGAATACACGATTAGAAAATTGACCGATCGGTCATCCGACGTCCGAGAGGCGTTCGTTCGTTGGTCGAAATTGTGGCCCACATTAACCACTTCCAGTCCGGACACTTTTCCCCCCTTTTCCAGTCCGGACACTTTCCCCCCCTTCCAGTCCGGACACTTTCATCCCTTTCCAGTCCGGACACTTTCCCCCCCTTCCAGTCCGGACACTTTCCCCCCCTTCCAGTCCGGACACTTTCCCCCCCCTTCCAGTCCGGACACTTTCACCCCCTTCCTGTCTGGACACTTTCACCCCCTTCCAGTCCGGACACTTTCACCCCCTTTCTGTCCGGACACTTTCACCCCCTTCCAGTCCGGACACTTTCACCCCCTTCCAGTCCGGACACTTTCCCCCCCTTCCAGTCCGGACACTTTCACCCCCTTCCAGTCCGGACACTTTCACCCCCTTCCTGTCCGGACACTTTCACCCCCTTCCTGTCCGGACACTTTAACCCCCCTTCCAGTCCGGACACTTTAACCCCCTTCCAGTCCGGACACTTTCACCCCCTTCCTGTCCGGACACTTTCCCCCCCTTCCAGTCCGGACACTTTCACCCCAGTCCGGACAACTTTCCCCCCTTCCGGGACACTTTCACCCCCTTCCTGTCCGGACACTTTCACCCCCTTCCTGTCCGGACACTTTAACCCCCTTCCAGTCCGGACACTTTCACCCCCTTCCAGTCCGGACACTTTCCCCCCCTTCCAGTCCGGACACTTTCACCCCCTTCCAGTCCGGACACTTTCACCCCCTTCCTGTCCGGACACTTTCACCCCCTTCCTGTCCGGACACTTTAACCCCCTTCCAGTCCGGACACTTTAACCCCTTCCAGTCCGGACACTTTCACCCCCTTCCTGTCCGGACACTTTCCCCCCCTTCCAGTCCGGACACTTTCCCCCCCTTCCAGTCCGGACACTTTCCCCCCCTTCCAGTCCGGACACTTTCCCCCCCTTCCAGTCCGGACACTTTCCCCCCCCTTCCAGTCCGGACACTTTCACCCCCCTTCCAGTCCGGACACTTTCCCCCCCTTCCAGTCCGGACACTTTCCCCCCCCTTCCAGTCCGGACACTTTCCCCCCCCTTCCAGTCCGGACACTTTCCCCCCCCTTCCAGTCCGGACACTTTCCCCCCCTTCCAGTCCGGACTCTTTCCCCCCCTTCCAGTCCGGACTCTTTCCCCCCCTTCCTGTCCAGGCCAATTTTCAGCTTTCAGCGCTATCACACTTTGAATGACAATTGCGCGGTCATGCAACACTGTACCCACATGAATTTTTTAAAAACTTTTTGAGACAGATAAAGCTTTATTTTGTTGGTATTTATTCACCGCTGGGATTTTTTTTTTTTTTGCTATATAAATGAAAAAGTCCAAAAAATTTTTGCAAATAAATAATCTTTCTTCATAAATCTTGGCCAACATTTATTCAGTTAACTTTTTAACAAAAAAAAAAATTAAATAACCCAAATTAGTTTATAGCCAAAAATTATAATTTTTGTTTTACATTTTTTTTATGTTTTTTTTTTTACAAACGCTTTGAATGCTGGTAAATGGCAGCTTTTACTAGAATCTCGCGAGACTACAGTGAGAGATCAGTCAAACACCGTAAATTAACCCGCTGCTTCATTTACGGTGGTTTCTCTGATTCTCCACCTCTGAGCTGGAGAATCTGGAGGGAGAACAGAGATCACCAGTGAAGGGCTGACATCGCTCCTTCATACACTGGCCATCTGTGTGCTGAGATGATCGCTGGAGAACATGTTCTCCACCAATCATCTCTGTTTCCTAAACCACCAATGATCGGAGATCACCAACAATCCTCAGGATCGCCCTTGATCTCTGTTTCCTAAACCACCAATGATCAGAGATCACCAACGATCCTCAGGTGCCGCTGATCTCTGTTTCATAAAACCACCAATGATCGGAGATCACCAACAATCCTCAGGATCGCCACTGATCTCTGTTTCCTAAACCACCAATGATCAGAGTTCACCAACGATCCTCAGGATCGCCGCTGATCTCTGTTTCCTAAACCACCAATGATCAGAGATCACCAACGATCCTCAGGATCGCCGCTGATCTCTGTTTCCTAAACCACCAATGATCAGAGTTCACCAACGATCCTCAGGATCGCCGCTGATCTCTGTTTCCTAAACCACCAATGATCAGAGTTCACAACGATCCTCAGGATCGCCGCTGATCTCTGTTTCCTAAACCACCAATGATCGGAGATCACCAACGATCCTCAGGATCGCCGCTGATCTCTGTTTCCTAAACCACCAATGATCGGAGATCACCAACGATCCTCAGGATCGCCGCTGATCTCTGTTTCCTAAACCACCAATGATCAGAGATCACCAACGATCCTCAGGATCGTCACTTATCTCTGTTTCCTAAACCACCAATGATCGGAGATCACCAACGATCCTCAGGATCGCCACTGATCTCTGTTTCATAACCACCAATGATCAGAGTTCACCAACGATCCTCAGGATCGCCGCTGATCTCTGTTTCCTAAACCACCAATGATCAGAGATCACCAACGATCCTCAGGATCGTCACTTATCTCTGTTTCCTAGACCACAATGATCGGAGATCACCACCGATCCTCAGGATAGCCGCTGATCTCTGTTTCATAAACCACCAATGATCGGAGATCACCAACGATCCTCAGGATCGTCACTTATCTCTGTTTCCTAAACCACCAATGATCGGAGATCACCAACGATCCTCAGGATCGCCACTGATCTCTGTTTCCTAAACCACCAATGATCTTAGATCACCAACGATCCTCAGGATCACCACTGATCTGTTTCATAAAAGGACACCTTTGCGTACAATATTCCTATCATGTGTACGGGGCATTAGTTCACCTTTTCATGATTTCTGTGCTTTAAATCCTGTCCTGCAGGTATCTCATTGAACATGAACTTCTAAAGACATTGTCAGGGATGCCATATTCTTTACAACAAGCTGCCTGTAATTTGAACTCAGGCTCAGTCCAGATATTTTAGGCAAGGCTGTTACAGAAGCAGGGGGGATGAGGATTGTGGGAAAACCCTGTCTACAGACTGAGCGCTGTTTTCGTGATTACCAGGAAGAG